CACTCCCTTGACCCCGTAGGCTCCGCTTGCAGCTGGATACTCTCCCATTCAGCCTTCCAGCGCCAATAGTCCCTTCTGTCCCCGGAGAACTTAGGCAAACTTATGGGTGTGAGCTTTATTTTAGGTCGGGCCCATTGAGAGCTGTTATCCCCACCGGCGTACACACCAGAGCCACTATATGGCATGCTACTACCTTGTCCCATGCTGAGATCGACGGGTGGAGCGGCCCGAACACTCAGTAGTTGTGGTGTGCTGGCAAGGTTTGGAGGTAGGGCGAAACTGACACCAAGTCCACTATCGGACTGTCGTGACTGTAGGGTGGGCTGTAATGTCTGTTGGGGAGTGCTGTGTGTGGCAACTGCTACATACCTGCTCTGAGGTCGGCTAGTGACAGTAGCACCTTGAGCAGCGCAGGTAGTGATATTTGCTCCATCAGTGGACATGAATGAAGGAGAGCTCGTAACATATACAGTTCCCTGCCCATCAACGGGCGGATTGACAACAGCAGGCTGGGAGTTAACAGGTAGAGTAGCAATAGGAAGGGTTACTGGTTGGGTAAAAGTGATGTCATCTGCAGCTGTGAGGCTGTCGCTAACTGTTGCGACAGGCCCGCCGACCGCGTCATCACCCCCCACATCTTTATCCTCTTCCTCCTCACTTCTGTCACTGTCGCCATCGTCATTTTGTTCTGTACTGTTCCTCATCATAACCTCGTTTTCACGTCGGCATGTCCAATCATCCATCAGTTGCTCCTTGTCCTCTCTCAATGATAAATGGAGCGTCCACTTGTCCTTTCCATGCGGCCGATAGTCTCTCCATGTGTACAAAGCCTCTCTGAGTTCATGGAGTTTCCTATCCAGTTTACCACGTTCGACCCCTTGCTGCGTCCATGGCACCACTTTACCTTTCCCGAGCGCCTCAGCCTGATCAAAAGCACACTTGAACTGTGTTACAAGAGTGTCTATGTCCGGCGCTGCATACTTGGACCACAGTATTTCCATGATCTTGCTCTCAGTTTCAAGGAACCTTTGCTCACTGGCATCCCTCCTCGCCAGGGCATCCCGCGACTCACTGTCGTCACCTGTAGGGTCTATCTGGCTCTGTGCGTCGATATATTCATTACTGACATCGAGGAGTTTTTCATAATCATCCTTCAATCTCGCTAACTCTTCTGACAACTCAACTTCACGTAAACGGCCAGCACTAACATCAAGGCGGTTTATTCGTGTTGTAAAGTTTCGTTGCGCATTTGAGCGCCTCCGCTTTAAGCTCTCTAGATCTGGCTTCTCATCTGTCATTTTGTCTTCTTTAGGTGAACAGAATCACTAGAATCACCTTTTAGCAAAAGATTCGTTCAAAAGATCCGTTCGAAAGGTTCGTTCGAAACAAATGACTCGTCCGCGAACGACACAGACGTCTTTTGCCGGCTGCTATGGCTGGTAGCGGCGTTGTTTACAAAGTCACTTTATTAGCTCTGCAGCTTTTATTATCCACACAGCCCTACTCACGGTTGTGGAAGTTATTCAACGGCCCCGTTAGCTCTTGGCTTCGGCTCCTCCGTTGTAGTGGCGTTATTGACGGCCGCTTCCTTCCCAGGCTCCGGGTCTCCGGTCCCGGCGCCAGTCGTCAACGATGGCTATCCTCCGCTCGGGGTCCGTGTACTCTCTGGCACGGCTCCGACGGCGGTTTACAACTGTCCAGACTTTTACTGAAACTACTGCTTATAGCCTTCAATTAAAAACTCCCCTCTGAAGGGTTCCAAGGAACAGGTACAGGCGGATAACACTCAAGTCACTTTTATCGATTTTTATTGCGCACACCATACACAATTAAGCACCCACCACACACTAGTAGCTAACTGCTACAACTACGCTAGCCTGTCAGCCCTTTGGGGGAATAATTAGTGACCTTAAATGGTAGTTAGTTAGCGACGTTAGTTTAGTTGTAAAAACCTGCAACGAAAACTAAACACAAAAACCCAGAAATAACCCAATGACCCTTATACCAATCATTCCATGGGATATTAATGCTTGATTTGAATTACTAGCAATGCTAGTTTTAGCCACTTCACCGGCAAGGCGTACCAGTCTCTGACCATAAAAAATTTAAATGAATGAAACTTAAAGTGGAGCCACCTGCGCACTGTGAACTAATTAAGTGCATACACAGACACACAGTCCTGGAGACCAGGAATGATAATAAACAAACCCTGTACCTGGTATGATTATAAAATATGTGAAATATAACATAAAATATGCCTGCATTTGGAACAAGGTGTAAATGTCACACTTATTTTCCCAAATACCCCAGGACAATAAATCATAACACCTAATCACCTTTTAATACAATATAAATAAGCAATATTTACATCTGCTGGAAAGTTCTACACTAACACATTAATTAGCAATAAATACAAAGCTCAGTTAAGGGCTGAAACCTGCTAACTACTGGGCTGCGAAATGGTGCTTAAAGGATTGCCAAAAATATTACAATAACGGGGACATGAATGTGCGTACCAAATTTAATGGTGAACCAGCCAAATGTTATTGAGACATTTCATAAAAATCCACCTCACTGTGGCACCAGAGAAGGAGTTGGGGGTTCTCCAAAGTCAGTGGAATAACCATAACTGTTCATAAACCACAAATGTCTGAACAAAATTTCATGGCACTCTGTGTTATAGTTATTCAGTCTGAAACAAAGTGGACAGTGCCATCCCTTGAGCCCCTCTGCTAACATGGGTAAACTCTCTCTCTCTCTCTCTCTCTCTCTCTCTCTCTCTTTCTCTTTCTGTGTTCCTCTTTGTTTATCTGTGTGGGGAGACAAGAAGACTTACATCCTCTGTCCTCAGACCAGACAAACTGCCTCCACAGCCTCCTGTGTGTGTGTGTGTGTGTGTTGTTGATTGATGTTGATGCACTTGAGAGAGGCTGATCTACTCTTGATAGGATGCCATAAAACTGTATGGCTGCTGCCCACACACAGTAAACAAAGTAAACTGAACTAAAATTGTGCGTTGTGTGCTTGTGTAGGTTCAGAGGTTTGGCACCCGATGTGTAAAGAAGCAGCAAGGCTGGAGAGAAAACTGAGGGTGAGCGATACTCAAAATATCCACAACTCCCTGCCCTCCCTCTCTATTTCTGTTGACGTCCTCTCTGTGTTTCTCTTTGTCTCTGTGTGTCTGAAAATTTCTCATTCTTGGTTTACAAGCTACATTGTTCTAAAACAAAGTTGCCCTCCAGATAAATGTAGCATTGTTTTAAAACCAACCTCCCTCTCTACTACTTTTTAATCTTGCCCTTAACTAAGAAAATACTGTTAAATATAAGATATAGTGCTTTGGACACATTTTCTTCGTATTTTACAGCATTACATGTAATTTATGAAAGGAAGGGAACATCTTTTTTATCTTTATTTGGTGGAACTTATCCAAAGAGCCCTTGAAAATGTCCCTTTTTTTCTTTTTTTATGTCTGAAACAGCATTTTATTTGAAATATTTATAAAGACTGCACTTTGGTAGTCTGGCTGCCTGCCAGAGCAAAGAGTTACAGTACCATAAAAGTGCAAATAACACAATACATGTTCTTTACATCTTTCTACATAAAACATTCTGCTAATTAAGAACAAGAAAAATTGCATTTCTCTTCTTTTATAGTCAAATGTTTGCACTGCTCATCTCACCTAAGTTAACATAATGTAAAAACCGCAAATTCAAGGTCTTAGCCAGTGTGTTTATGACTGGCTTTCTGTCATTGGTTATCTTATCTCCTTGTTATTGTCAACTTCCTTTTGAAAATTACTACCCCAATGACACTTGATTAGAATGTAATAGTTTCAGTTATACATTGTAGTTACACTGTAAATGTTTAGAAAACTCAAATAAATAAGGGAACCAGCCGCAATTAAACTTGTGTCAACTCAGTTTAAGAAGTTCTAGTGTTCAAATGACTATACATTACTTATTCTGTCAACTGGTCGTTTTCTGTGTAGATAACTTCAGTGCTTTATAGACAAACTTAAATTAAGTTGAGCTCTTATTTTGGTCTTATCAGCTGAGACGTACCTCTGAGACGGCGTCCCTTTCCTCTCCAGGCTCCTCTCCTCTCCTCGGCTCCCCCCACCGGCTCATCTGTGTAAGTATCACCATGGTTACACCAACAATGGTGTGGTTACACCCTCAGCTGTCACTGTCACAGGCTTCAATCAAAATATAATCGACAGCGACAGAAGCACAAAGAGTCCCTGAAAGCTCATTCTGTCGACCCTATCTGTCTTTGAGCAGACTTTTCTTGTCTGTTTGTCTCAACACTTGTCTGTCCCCCTGCTACTGGCCTGTCTGCAGCACAATTAAGCCTTAGTTATGGTTCTACAGTCAATTTAAGAACCTCTTTTATTTTCTATGGGAGACTGGTCTTACACTCTATTAAAATTGTCATTAAACAAGCCTTCAAGTATTTTAATTGAACCAACTCATCTGTCAGTCAGTCAGTCATATTCTTTCTTTGTCTGTGTTCATATGATACAGTTTGTTTAAACTTATTTGCTGAGCTTTTTTGCCTTATTTCTGGAAAGACTGCCTGTTATTATGCATGAACAAATTCTACTGTCGCTCAGCTGAGGCTACCGTACACTTTCCTGGCTTTGCTCACAATCACAGATTTCTGCATTTTTATCGGTTGTAGAATCTCCTGCTAGCTAGCACCGGCTTGTTTTAAACCAGGTAGCTAGCAAGTGTTTCATGGCGGAGACTTGTTGCCGGGACAAATCCTGCAACCTCTTTATGCGGATGTTACAGTTCTTTATTCCTTCGCCGATACTGCACAGTCTGCACCACAGATACTACAAAAAGCCTAATTTGGTGGGACGGGATTACCAAGGAAATTGAAATTAGTCCTGAATGCAAACAAGACTAACTATATATTCTATATTCTCTACAATAATTTGCATATTACCGCACTGACACAATCTGGACAATCTATTGAGAGGATCTCAGAGTATAAATATTTATATCTCTTCTTATCTGGCTAGATCAAAAAGTTTTATCTAAATTTCATATTATCACACTGTTGCCTGCTTATTTGTTTTCTTGCTAATTGTTTATTGTTGTACGTTCTGCAATTGTACTGCTATTTATGTCAGATGTCCTATTTTTGCCTCTGTTTCCATTCTGCCTCTCTCTCTGTCAACCCGCCTCTCTCTTTCTCACAGTCTAAAACTGACGGTGATGTTTTGGACTATAAACAGCTGGCGGCTCTGCCCAGGGTCAAAGCCATATATGACATCCAGCAGCCTGACATCATCCCTTATCAGGCCGACCATGCACACACACACCTCTCAGATGACACTCTGGAGCGATATAGCTGTGGACAGGTACACACACACACACACACACACACACATATATATGAATTAGGTGATTCTGGGGCACCTGGAGAGCTCACCTCATAGAGCTGGTGCCCCATGTACCAAGGCTGAGTTCTTTCTGCAGCGGCTGAGGGTTCGAATTCGACCTGTGGCCCTTTGCTGCATGTCACCCCCTCTCTCACCCTGAGAATAAATGAGAATAAATAATTTGTTTTGTTGGCTAGCAATAACAAATATTTATTTTTCTCTCTCTCATTCAGTCACTGGGGTCCTTATCACCGTACTCTCATGTAAGTACTCCACCCAAGAATCTTACTCCAGATATTTTACTCCAAAGTCATAGCTTTACTTTATATGTGATAGTTACTGTTTGCAAGGAGCAGGGAAGAACAGTGTCTTTGAAGTGGGAAACACTTGCAGTCTGTTCCACGTAAAGCACTGTCTTCATGAAGAGATAAATAACATACAAACAGAAAATATTAACAGATAAAGTGCACAGGCACAACAGATAAAACAAGACATTTCCTATACTAAAAGTAAACATACAATGCAATTTCGCAACAGATAAGACATTTACTAATGCTAAGAGATAGACAATAAAATATAAAAAAGTTTAACAGCAGTTATGTACAAAATGGCCAATAATAATTCTTGTGGGCCCCAGCCAAAAAAATAAGCAAAAAGTTGCAAAGAAAAAAAGCATTTTTTTTCAGTTTAAAAGGCCAAAGTAAATAAATAAAATTAAGCGCCCAAATTTCAAATCCTTGTAAAATGGTTTATGAGTTTTGAAAAAAAAATAGTAATAGTTAAAAATAATTGGAAATTTTTAATAATTATAAATTGAAAGGGTTTTTTAAAAAACCAATCTTCTTCATCTTATTCCAAAAAAAGCAAAAAAAAATAGAACATACTTTTTACCAAAAGTTGAAAATCCCTCCTCCTT